CATTGAACATAAATGTTACAATCTTAGCATTTGAAAAATAAGGTTTGATGTGAAATAACAGTTTTAAAAGCATAAAATAAGATATTTAGAGTAATCAATCCACTAATAAAAATGGCTCGTCAGACCTTTTTGTCTAATTCATTTCTCATCCATCGAGCTTTGCATTACTCAGGCCTTAAAAGGAATGAACAAATCATTGTAGAATTCTTGGATAAGTTTTTATATATAATATCAATCTCTTTCTCAAAAAAATCAGCTCTGACATAAGCTCTATAAATAATTTTTGATTGCATTAGCTACCTCACCAACACTTTTTATCATCATAACAATTATATATATATATATATATATTTTATGTTCTCCTACTCTCTCTTCTATTAAGCTTCAAGGGTCTATTGGTTGGCATCCACGATATTAAGTCCCCTCAGGTCGGGGGTTCAAATTCCCTTTGGCACAGTTGGCCTTAAGGAGGTGGTACTCAAATTGTTAAAATATTATTTTTTGAGTCACTTTTAAAGTGATTTATTTTTTATATTACTGAGACTTTATTTGCTCATTATTTTCCTTGGATTATTCTCGTTTTATTTAGCTTAAAAGATTTGCTACTTTATTTTTTGTGCTGAGATTGTGCGTACAATTGAGCTTGAGAAATAGGGTACTTATTATTTCTGTTAGTCTGATGATTACATAAACATTAAAATTTATTCTTTAGAGATATTGGTAAAATGGTTATTATTATTATTTTTTGTTTAATCAGACTTCATTTACTTTTTATTTCTCTTGCATTTTTATCGTCATTACAGATGATATGGAAACAATTTAAGGGCTGTTGAAAGAAACATGGAACACACTATTTACAGAATGCGGCAACACTGCCTGCCTTCAGCTACAGTTCTTCTTTCTGCAACTAGGACGTAGAACTATAAGAGCAAAAATGGAGATTTTTTTCAAAAGGGGCATTTACATGCATGCCACCCAATTTATATGTATCTACATATCTTAGATCTAAAATTTGCTTACATTTGTGCCCCCTAATTTTTTCATATCACATCAAAATATTATTATTTTAACTTTTGAAAGGTGAAATGCACCTTTTCATATATAGGTCAGCACAGCAGAAGAGACAACCTGCAAACTGTAACTACTTGAATCCGTATCACGGTCTCAAAACCTGTAATGCAGAATACTAGAATCCAAAACCTGTAGTACGGAATACTAGAATCCTCCTACTGCTCTATAACTAGACACGATTGTACCCACTATGTGTGTACTGAATATAGAGAGACATCCACATAGCCTTATACTTCTCTGCTTCTACTTGCTCAATTACTGCTATCGTCATTCCCTTTAAGCCCAAGCTGATTCGATCTCCACCCAGCAAACTCGTTGCTATGCTATAATTAAAGTTGTTATTAGTCTTTGTTAAGTAGTCTCTGCAGCCTACTTTTATCTTCTTAAAATCCTTTCTTCAACAATGACCAACTCCCAGACTTTTGAAACACATGGATCTTCCTCTCTAGCCAATGAAAATCACAATAATTCCTCCCTCAGTCAAATTTATTATGAGCAATATAAAAAACCTTACTCGATAATTATCCAAATTGGTTCAGGTCACAAAAAGTTTTTATCGCCAATGGATTCTTAGGGTTCCTAGATAGCAAGACTTTATGCCCTTCCAAATTCATTACTAATACAGTTGATTCTCCAACGATAATTACTCAATAGACAACCTAGGTCCTGATTGATTAGAATTTGAACGTTGCACTATACTCAATCATTTCCCCTGCTATTCTACCTAGAATACTATTGTAAAGCTATTTCAAGATACCAACATATCCCGGATTATTCAGATAAAAAATGAGCTCCACCACCTATCTATGAACAACAATCTTTGACTTAATGTCCTTCAAATGTCAAAACTTTGATAGATAATATTTCTGTTGTATCTCGATCAAGAGGATATCATCACAGACTTCAATGGCTTACTCACAGGGTATCAAGCATTAAAGATTACTATTTGCACTCCTATGCAACGGGAAAATGGAACAAAATCCCAATCTTCAGTTGGCTCTCACAGCTTCTCATGGCTGTCACACTAATTCTACCAGGGATCGTGGTAGAACTCAACACTCCACCTCATGGTCTAAAGGAGGTCTATCTCAATCCAAATCTCCAGTAATATGTCAGATTTCTAATAAGTTTGATCGCTCAGCCATTGCTTGCCTGTCCCATCCGAACCTGGATTATATTCCTCCCAAACAGGCATTGCAAACCACAACACCTACCTGGGCACTGGATTCGTGAGCTATAAGAGACCTTACTTCTGATTTCAACCAACTCTAGGTCACTATCCGAACGAATGGCTCTGAGCATGTTTTGGTTGGCAATGGACAATCAGTTCAAATCAAACATGCAGGAAATGGTATTCCCCCTAATCGTAAGCTTCTTCTGCCTAAAATCTAGCATGCATCATCCCTTCTGTCGTAATCTCATATCCTTGCATAAGCTCGTAACTGGTAACAATGTTGCAATCCTATTTGATCCCGTTGGATTCCTGATTTTTGATCCACAGAGGCGGCAAATTTTGCTTCGGGGCAGCAGCTCGGAAGGACTATATCCGATCATTCCATCCATTGCTCTCACCCAAGCTCTTGCTACCTCTATATAGCTATCTATAACATTGCACAAAAGGCATGGACATCACAACTAAGACACACTAGATATCCTATCTAAGACACAATGCCCTCTCGGCATAGCAACAATAACTTCTTCATGTAATAGCTGTAACTGTAACAGAAGTCATAAAAGACCATTTCATCCCACTTCTTTACATATGTACTCACGTCTACAACTTATAGCTGCAAATGTATGGGGTTCATCCCAAATATTGTCTAATCAAGGCTATTGGTACTATATTGAATTCATTGATGATTTATCTAGGTTATGCTGGTTATTTGCTATGACTCACAAGTCTGAAACAACTCACAAATGTATTTTGTTCATCAAAATGATTGACGCCCAATTTATTACCTCCATATGAATATTAAGATCCGATCAAAGTGGTGAATACAATAGCTCACTTCTAAAAAAATTCCTTAGACAATGAGATAATTTGCCGATTATATTGTAAATACACTCGAGAAAAAATGGAGTTGCAATGCATAAGCATCACCACTTTATTTAAACTGCACTAACACTTTTTTAAGATGCCCCTATTCAACTCAATTTCTAGTTTGATGCGCTAATAACAGCAATATGCCTTAATAACTGTATATCATCCAAAAATACTTACTCGGTATTTCGGTATGAGCTACTATACAATCATCCACGAACTTATTCCCATCTCAGGATATTTGGATACTATGTTTATCTATAGCTGAAACCACAAACACCACATAAACCAGCACCCCGCTCAACTCCCGGCATCTTCATTGGTTTCACTTCGACTCATAAAAGAATTCAAATGTTACAACCCCCAGTCAGAAAAGACCATATCTCTCACCATGTTGTCTTTAATAAACATTTCCTTCCATCTAGTTACACCACGTACAAACCACCATATCAAGCCTCACAACTACACAATCCCTTACTACTTATACCAACCTCTATAAAACAAATCAATTTAGCGCCTCCTCTGGGTAGCACATAGCCTCACACAAATACCACATAACTCAACATCCCAGTCATCTGCAATACACACACAATAGCATAATCCTCTCCAAGCTACCATAGCAGAGACACACACTTGCTATAAATATGCCTCATCCAATGCTAACCACATCCAAAATTGGGAAACTCAAACTATCCAAAAACTTATCCTCTCTCACCAGCTGTAGTATCCTCAAGAAGCTAAGTCTGCTCACTGGCAAAAAGCAATGAATGAGGAATTCTTTGCTCTCTGTGCTTAGGGTATTTAAGTATTAGTCCAACCTCCACCACATAAACCAGTTCTTGGCTGTTGATGAACATATCAAACATTACCTCCATTCTAGATTTGATTTGCCCTACTTCCCTTTTCAATCTCTCTTTCAATACATCCACTTTCTTTGTTGTCATCTCTTCATGATCTTGCTGTGATACCAATTTGATATGCCCCTGAGCCAAAAACAGCGAACAAATTGCAAAAAAATAAACGGGAAAACTTACATTAGGGCTAATTTTACTAATATCCAAGCAGACAAATAAGATACAAGAATGATCTATAATTTGAGAGGTAGATTGGCTTTCCACAAACCCTAGATGTCATTATGAGCAAACAAACAAAAGAGAAAACTGCAAGAAAATAAAAATTGAAGCAAACCCTAGCCACATAGCCCTAATAGATCCCCTCCAAGGTCATCTCAAACTTTCTCCTCAAAACTCCCTTTATTTCCCCTTCTCATGTACGTGATTAAGGCCGCGGTCCACTCAGATGCTGGAATCATCCACATGGCTGGGTTTGGTTGGCCAAGACCGGTCCCTCTTGTACTGGTGTATATGCAGCAGCCGGCAGAGCTGGCATATCAACACCAACCAATAAAATTATACAGTGATAATATCTCAACAACGAAAATCACAAACAATCTTATCTTTCACGCTCACACTAAACACATTGATATAGATTACCATCTTATTCTGATCACATTCAATCCTGATAACTCAGAATTCCTTGTATCATTACACAGGACCAATTTTCAGACAATTTTACCAAACCTCTGGCAAAACAACACTTCAACTTGCTGAAATCCAAGCTTCAGATTCTTTTTGGAGAACCATTATAAAATTGTTGGGGGTAATAACCATAGCATAAGCACAGCAGAATAGACAACATACAGACTGTAACAACCTGGAATATCAGAATACTAGAACCTTCCTACTTCTCTATAAATAATACTTGTGTTATTGGCTCTTTATTCTTTATTGAATTTCTTGCATTGCGATGATTTATGCAGCTTTTGGGCAATAATTTTCTGTAGTTATGAGCGATTATGGTATGAATTCTCATCATTTTTTGCCTGTAGGTTGGAGAATGGAGTGCAGTAGCTGGGATAGTATAATGAGCTCTGTATACAAGTTTGAAGAGATTATATATATAGCTTGTTAAATAGTATATTACAATGTATCTGTATGTATGCTTTTGATGTCTGTTAAGTTCATGAATTACTAAACTATTAACTTTGTAATTACAAGATTACATTTTTTTGGGGAAAATTTACATACATACCACTAATTCTTAAATGTATATTGAACGCCTAAACTTCAATTTTTACATGTATGCCACCTTATGCATGAAAATGTATCATTTATTTTATTTTTTTAAACAGTGGTATTTCTAAAGTGGTATAAAAGATTTGGGTCGGTATAAATGTAAAAATTAAAGTTTGGATGATAGATATTTAAATAAATAGGAATTGGGTTGTATGTATGTAAATGAGCCCCCTTTTTTTATATTTCATTGCTTATAATATAATTATATGAGCTTAAATGCATGTAAAGGCTGCATTTATATTTGCAGTAAACACAGCTGAAGAGTAATCTTCATAATATTAAAATTGGTTTATCAAGACGGCTCAGTGGAAAATTTAGTTTTTGCCAATAAAATTTGGGAAAATATATATTAATTTATTTATTTTTTGGGTAAGTATTTGTGTACAATTTAAAAAAAAAATTAATTTAATTCAAATCCTAATAATTTGAATCTGAAATCTGAAAATTAGTAGTGAACTGCTTCCATTTCAAACCTGATGCCATTAAATTCAGACAATTTTAATTAAATTATTTCTTATTTTTTCATTAAATTATATTTGCAATCCCTTGCCCTGCGTTGAAGTAAGGTAACAAAACTCTTTATGCCTTTCTTCCTGCAAAACTAAATCAATGAATGTCTTTTGCTTTATGCTCTTGCTTCTAGTCGGCATATAACAGGCTAGTGGGACTCCTCAATCACACACTATTTGCATTCTCTTTAGCTCTTGATGCTTCTTTCTTGTGTGGTTCTGATTAGGTGAGTCCCCAATAATTTATGTATAGATCAAGATTGGCTTATGTTATAGATTATTTATTCAACAGTATTGATTTTTAAAATTTTCTTTACCAAGAATAGTCAAATAGTTTGAACTACTTGATCATCCAAAATGATTGTAGCTGATTCACTATTTATTAATATTTCAAATTTCTTGTAAGCAGAGCAATAGGAAGCAATGGACATTCCCGAAAAATACAAGAAATTATGGGGGGAGTGGGATATCCGGGTGTTGATTTTGATCAGCCTCTTGATCCAAGTCATTCTCATTTTCCTCGGCCGCCTGAGAAAAACTTCAACTTCGACATGGATTCGAATGTTAGTTTGGAGTAGCTACTTGCTCGCTGATTGGGTCGCAGATTACGCCCTCGGCCAACTAAGCAATAACATGGATGATTCCTCCCCTAGCAACCCAATCATCGCCTTTTGGGCTCCCTTCCTCATCCTCCACCTCGGCGGTCCCGACACCATCACAGCATACTCCATGGAAGATAATGAGCTGTGGGCTCGCCATCTTCTCGGCCTTAGCTATGAACTCATCATTGCTTTCTATGTCCTCTTGCGCTCCCTCCCCAACACTCATCTTCTTGTCCCCACCCTCTTGATATTCTTAGTAGCCATCATAAAATATATGGAGCGCTCCTACTCACTTTATAGAGCAAGCACTGAAAGCTTTCGCAGCTCCATCGGCTCCTCTGCCAAACAACTGCCAACAGATATTTCTTCAGCCACATCAAAAATGGAAGATTTGAACGCATTGAAAACAACATTTGAATTATATTCTTCTTGCAGGCCTTTCTTCGTCGATGTTATTCCACGTGTTGAGGTGTATGAGGCAACTGGAAATTTGGTCAAGGAAATGACGACGAAGGAGGTTTTGAAAATGACAGCCTTGGAGCTTAGTTTCGCTTATGATGAGCTTTACACAAAGGCAGTTGTAAATCATTCCAGAACTGGGCGCGTTCTTAGAGCTCTTTGCTCCATTTGCATTTTGATGGCTTTCTTGCTATATGTATTGGCACCAAAAGATAGTTTTGATAAACTAGACGTGGCCATCACCTATGTCCTACTTGGGACCTCTATAATCCTCGATGCCATGGCTTTTGTCATGTTATTATTCTCAGATTGGATGGTGGTATCTCTCTTAAATATCAAAAAGTTAAGCCATTGGACTGAGCTGCTAGCTTTGCACATCGTCAAAATTAAGAGCATGTGGTTTAAGAGAAGGTATTGGTCGAGAGAGATGCCTCAATTGAATCTATTTAGTAATTGCCTGAAGATTCTTGCAACAAGAGAAACTCTTCGACGAAGAATGATAAACTGGATTGAAGAAAAGTTGAGCTTAGTGCAAGAGACAAAGTTGTTCTCGAGCTGGACCAGTGGCTTTGAAACTTACACCTTGTGCACGGCAAAACCGATACAAGCAACTGAAGAGCTTCAGGAGACCATTGCTACATTTGCACAAGCACGTCTCCATATATCGTGGGATAAATTTAATGAACCTGCAGGTCTTTCTGCTCTTCGAGAAGTAACAAGTGCCCCTGCTTGGACTATCCCAACATTTGTTAAACTTGTAGAGGGATTGTCACTTGATCAACAAGTTCTATTATGGCACATCACTACTGAGCTTTGCTTCCACTGGAAGTCAAACTCTTTACATCCCCTGCATCCTCAACAACCAGAGATTGAAGTAGAGGATAACAACACAAGAGAAATGAAGAGAATCTCCTCAGAGATGGAAGCTTGCACATACTTATCAAACTACATGATGCACATGGTGCTAATGAGACCAGAGATGATGTCTACCATGGGAGGAGCAAGCCCACTAGTGTTTTGGCATGCGTGTTATGATATGGTTCAATTCATTCGCAAAAATGATGGTGATCATCACTTGTTAACATCAAATGCCAAAGTCGATCAAATATGCAGGATGATGATGACTACTCCCATAGAGTGGATTAGATATTCATCTCTATTTGAGATAGCACGAGCGCTTGCCCATATGGTGCTTATTATTGAGGAAGAAGAAAGATGGCAAGTTGTGACCACTGCTTGGGTGGAGCTTCTAATGCAAGGAGCAAAAACTACCAGAGCAAGCATGCATGTTAAGCAGCTAAGCAAAGGAGGTGAGCTCTTAACTTTCATTTGGCTTCTCACCAAGCATGTGGGGATGGTTGATTCATTAGATATTGGAGCTTATATGACGGGTGGTGCGCTTCAGATGGCCATACAACTCTTACCTATGATCGAACTTTACTTGCATAACCAACAATAAGTATTATGTTATTTGTTCTTCTTAAAAACTTATGTTTAACATGGTTATTGATTTCATAACCCATATATTTAACTCCCATTAATGTCTCAACTGATCTAATAATTCTTAAGTTATACATGAAAATAAAATAAATTATTTTTGGTTGAAACTTAGAAGGGTTGTAAGTTAGATCAAAGTTGATGCTAGTGAAATCTAAACTTATTAGCATGAGAAATTATATAACTAGAAAAATAAACCTGGTTCCTTACCAAATAAAGTCTAATTTGTATTCTTATGTCAAGCTTTTCGGGAGTACTCTAATAAAATATGTTAATTTCTTATACTAAATTTTACAATGAATGTAAAATACTTCCAAGAACTGTTGATGTTAAATTATTTGCAATCTCTCTATGAAAGTAGTTGATGACAATTATTTTTAATATCTTTAAATTAAACTTTTGTTGTGCTTTATAGTTACTAGTATTACAAAATTAAGTGGTTTTTATTCTAAATCATTCTCTTCTCACCTTTCTCAAACCCAAGCATTCTCACAAATAGTACCTTTGATGTACATTATCTTGATTAAACAAAATGACTTTGCTAGAAATTTATTGATCATATCATAAACATGTAGATATTTACTCTTTTGGGAATGTTTTTGACATATTGAGCATTAGATTATATGTGTATGACACATCCTTACATAATCTCTTAGCATTCTTTGTGAGCTTTTATATCTACATCTTTTTATGAGACAACAAATATTATTTTTGGCTTGTAGAACAATAGATTTTTATTACTTAAGATCGCTTTGCGCTCTTTTATCTGTATTTTTTTATCTTTAACTTTTCATATATGACCTCAAATATCTTTCTCGAAATACATCCTCTCATAACCTTGAGCGACTAAATTTCTCTCATCTCACTATAGGAAATACTCCTTTCACTGGTTGAAAAATCACCTGATAATATCATGAATTTAAGTTAGTATTGAAGATCATAGGCTTAATCTGGCCGAAAATTTCAGCCGATAAAACTCTCATCAGGCACAATTTATCTGTTGAAAGATTGAACCGTTAAATTCACCGACCGAACTTATAGCTGCTCAACCATGACCAACCATGCAACTAATTTGTAGCTGATAATTACTTAGTGGCTGAAAAAATTAGCTGATAAAAAAAAAAAATTGAAAAAAAAAAAAAAAAAAAACAAGCCAGCCAACTCTTACACACCTACAACCAGAGAACAAAATACATAACAACAATATTTATCACATACCACAATAGTGTGGAAGAATCAATGATGACATAAACAAAAGAAATCTTAAAAAACATCTCAATACATTAAACAAATCAATCAATACAACAATTTTCATACAATAAATGAATGACATACAATTTAACATCCATATAAAGAAGAAAAAAATAAAATCAAAACGTCATAGTGGTCATCCTCCTCCTCATCATCGTCCTGCATGTTAGTTAAAGGTTGCTTGCCATAGTGATGTGCATCACATGACAACTGCTCAATTGTGGCTTCACGCCTCTCGACCTTAGCATCCCTAGTACACAGCCCAACTACAAAATTTGCTCGTAACTCGTATGTCAGTCCAACTGCACGCCTGAAAAATTCATCGTCAACCAATAATGATGGCCTCTGTTTTGAATAGGAGCTTGGCCTCATAAACAAATTATTGTGCACCTAGGCCATAGACCCTCTCCTTTTTCTTTCCCCAGAAAACTTCCCACTAGGTCTCAAAATCTAAGTGGTCAGACAACCCACAAGAGCAACTAAATTCTGTAGGGCTTTAACTCTAGGTATCCCTCAGATGCTCATACTTATCATACATAAATAAAATCAAAAGTTAATTAATATTTCACATAAGATTTTAAATAAATTAGGGAAATAAATAAATAAATGAATATATATATATATATATATATAGGTCTTTTTTTGACCCACTCCTAGCCCATCTGGTGCTTATGTGTCCGAGTGTGCACAACTCAGTGATGATGAGCTCTCATCCAAGTGCCACTCTTTGTCAACATCAAAAGATTAAAAAAAAATTATACGAATGAATTGAATGCATTCGTCTCCCTCTTTTTGATTAGCCTTTACTTCTTCTTGCGGATATGAGTAAAAATATCTCGCAAGAGAGTCTATCCTCGGTTTTTAAAGTTCTGTCAGATTTGCTAATGGTGCTCAATGTCCCAACTAAAGTTTATCTACAAAAAAATATAAAGCAATGTTTGCTATTGTTGAGAAATTTAGAGCAAAAACAACGCAAATCCAAAAGAAAAACACAGAGAGATGCCTATGTCCTCGGGAGCAGAGCGGTGAATTTCACTATTTCAGAGGAGTTACATACCCATAGGGCTACACATCTATTTATAGATAAAACCCACAGATAAATTTACAAACACGCCCTCGCTCCCCCATTCCACTAATATAAGAGACACATCTTCACACCAGGAGACACGCCTCTTCATACACACCTCTCCAAATCTAAGAGACTCCAAATTCCTGGTATATGAGTCATACTTAACAATTCTTCACCTTTGTGAATATACAACCTCTTAGGAGAAATACATCTTGGAGTTTCTTACACCGAAGTGGGTTGACAACCATGTCAACTAGCAACTACAAACATTCAACAAGTTCAAGTAACACAACAACTTGTTGAAAATATCTGGCTTGGTCACTTTTCTGCTGCATTTTCATCATATGATCCAACAGAATAAACTACACCTACAGCTGTACTCCCCAACAGTTTATGGATATTACCACCAGGTTTCACTCGCAATGTCTTCAAAATTATTTATTGTGCCAACAAATCTTTCACCCTTGTTTGTCACAATCCGAAGTTCACAGTTTCATCGAACTTTATTATCTCAAATTTTGTACCAGACATTGTCATTTGAAATTAATATTATAGTGAATTTTTTATGCATTGTATTGAAACAAAACACAGCACAAATAAATTCAAATAAACCTGAAATTTTCTCTGTCAAGTGCAACAATTTTTCCGCAGTTTCCTGTGATTCGTGAATCAAATTTTTCACACGAAGCACCTTTCCTGTTCGCACAAAAATTCAGCTGAAATATTGTGGACACCAGCCAAACTCCACCTGTCACAATTTCTCCTGCGACAAACCTGTGAACAATCCGCAAAATTCGCGAACTCCACTTGTCGCAATTTCTCCTGCGACAAACTTGCGAAATCCTTTGGACGACACCACCCCCCCCCCCCCCCCCCCCCCCCCCCCCTGCCGTAACTCTACCTACAACAAACTTGCGAACTCTGCTGATCGAGCACCGCCTGTCGCAACTGTACCTGCCGCAACTCCTCATGCGACAAACTTGCGAACAATCTGCAAAATTTGCAAACTTCACCTGTCGCAATTTCTCCTGCGACAAACTTGTGAACTCCTCTGGTCGAGCAACACCTGTCGCAACTGCACCTGCCGCAACTCTACCGTGACAAACTTGTGAACTCCGCTGGTCGAGCACCACATGTCGCAACTGCACCTGCCGCAACTCCTCCTGTCGAGAACACCGACAGATTCTCTGCGAGCTTTTGCTCTACCATTTGCAAACACTCAGTGAAATGCTCCACAAACTGTTGCGACGCTTAGCAAAGCCCTTCGTCGGCACTTTCCTCGGTAGTCATGAGCCGCCAACCCGCAACACACCTCTGCGCGAATGTCTATACGAAAAGTCTCCCTCATACCTCTTCTCACCCAACTCCTTTGATTCCCGTGAAACTGGCAAACCCCGCACAACTACCTCTTCTCCTTATCGCTACAGTTCTCTTGTGTGAACCTGCTATCTAAAACTTCCAACAAAGTTTGCCTAGGTTTCAGGCGGTTCCCTCTTCGTGAATATTCTCGCTGCAGCCAAAGAAGGGAATATTCTTCCAAAACCGCCGAACAAACTTCCTCCCGCGCTCCTATGTCGCGGATCTTCCTGTCCGAAGCGATTTTGCAGGCGGAGAACTCCTTCGCTGCAGAATTCCTCCCCATCATGCGTTCGATCGAACTACTGTAACTGCCTCAATGATTCGGTCCGCCCAGCGTGCTGCACGAACTCCTGCGATCCGCCGAACCGTCTGCCTCGGTTGCAAAGAAGGTGTCGAACAGGGCGCGCAAACTCTTCCTCCCGCGCGATTCTTCCTTCCCGCTTGATTCTTCCTCCACGTGATTTGCGAATCTCCTGGCAAACGCCTCTCGTCTGCCGTAATTTGCAGAAGAAGGATTCAACCACAATGTGAAACTTCTCCTCGCTCGCAGACCGCTCTAACTGCTTGCGTTGATGAACCCATGTCGCGCTAAACCTTCTCAGGCATGAACTCCGAATTCGCCGAACTCCTGATAGAAGCTCTAACAACGTCGTTGCCTCTGCGAACTCTTGTCTGAATTGTCGCAGGAACTCCTTCTGGTGTCTATACTCTGATCCGATCTAATCTGCCACGAATGCAGATTTTTAACGAACGCCCTAGTAACTGCTGCAAACCGTCAAAATCGCCCGAACTTCTACTTTCAAATCCTTCTTCTTTCTTCCTTGGCACGCCAAAGTTTTATTCTCTGCCGTAGAACTTGGCTCTGATACCAACTGTTAAGAAATTTAGGGCGAAAACAACGCAAATCCAAAAAAAGAACACAGAGATTTAACGAGGTTCGGGAAAGATGCCTACGTCCTCGGGAGCAGAGCGACGAATTTCACTATTTCAGAGGAGTTACATACCTATAGGGTTACATATCTATTTATAGATAAAACCCACAGATAAATTTACAAACACACCCTCGCTCCTCCTATCCACTAATCCAAGAGACACAAATCTTCACACCAAAAGACACGTTTCTTCATTCCAGGAGACACACCTATCCAGGAGACACACCTATTCTTCATTCCAGGAGACACACCTATCCAAATCCAAGAGACTCCAAATTCCTGGTATATGAGTCATACTTAACAGGTATTATAAAAAAATAAACAAATATTATAATTGTAATCAAAAGTTAATTAATTTTACCTTGAATTCTTTAAACCACATGTCCAAACTCGATCGAGTTCTTCTAGGAAATATGGGGAGTAT